TCGCCATCAGATCGGCATAATAGAACGTCTTCGCGGCACTCGGAAACATGGTTCAGCCTTAGTCGGAGACGGTCAGAAAGCTGTGTTGTGGCCGGCTGGCAAAATAGCCACTGAATGCTGACCAACACCGAGCTCATCGGAGCGGCTGAACGGTGACGATCGATACGTGTGGGGCTCAAAATATGCACCCTCTCGGTCTGTGTGCCGCCTTCGCGGTCCTCGACGGTTGAGGGTGATCTCGACCGGAAATGGTCAAAATGTCGAGACAGACAACTGCGGACAGTCTGAACAGGTTGTTGGCCTAACATGTAGGGCAGATGAGCATAAAGTTAGAAAAGGGATGCAAAGGAAAGTTTAAAGACTGACAGAAAATTGTTGGGAAAAGTGTAATTTTGCATCAAAGTTGATGATCGAGATAAACCTAACCCTAACGAAACGCTAACGCCAACGCTAACGCTAACCATAACCATAACGCTAACGCTAACCCTAATACTAACAATAACCCGAACCATAACCCGAACCCTAAGACGAACCCTAAACCTAATCCTAAGCCTAACAATAAACATAATTCTAACCCGAACCCTAATCCTATACATAACCCTAACCCAAACAATAACCCTTACCCTAACCCTAACCCCATCCCTAACCTTAACCCTAACCCTTACCCTAACACTAACCCTATCCCTAACCTTAATCCTAACCGTAACGATAAACCTCACTCTATTACTAAGCCTAACCGTAGCCCTAACCCTAACGCTAAACCCTAAAGCTACACCTAACCTTAACGCTAACAGTAACCATAACCTTAATCCTAACCCTAAACCTAACCCTAATCATGACCCTTACCCTAACAATAAGCGTAAACCTAACACTAACCCTTACGCTAACGCTAACAAAAACCCTAACCCTAACAATAACCCTAACCCTAACCCTAACCCTAAAGCTAAAGCGAACGCTAACCCTAACGCTAACACTAAACCTAACCCTAAGCTTAACGATAAACCTAACGCTCACCCTAACCCTAACCGTAAATCTAACCCTAACCCTAACCCTAAGCCTAACACTAAAGCTAACCCTAACCCTAACCCTAACCCTAACCCTAACCCTAACCCTAA